AAGTTGTGTGTGTGTGTGTGTGTGTGTGTGATTGCTGTGGCACGGTGGCTTACAGGAGCAGCGTTGGGCACTCGGCAGATGACGCCCGAGGAGGCCGGCCCGAACGGAGTGGGCAAAAGTCTCGGAGGGCCGCTCGACGGATTGGCCATTCCGACGCCGTGGTTACAACGCGCGTCCGGACTCGACTGGCTGGTTTGCGAAGATGCTCGAGTCGGGCCGGTGGCAGAATGCTCGGGTCTGTCGAGGCTCTGGGAGGGGAGGCAGAGGGAGGGATTGACAGAGCGACAAAGTTGTTTATCCACAAACGGGGTGGGAAGGTTGTGAAAAAGGTTAACAGAAACGGAAAATGCACTACTGACAAGGCGGAGGAGAGTAGTACACGCGATAAACATCGACAAGCACACATTTCCACACGGCTTGTAGGCACAAAGTTCACTTGTTCCGGCTCTTCTTCAGCTCATCGACTGCAAGTTTTGTCGCCTGGAGACGGTAAAAGAGGAGTGGATCGTGGCGATCACGACACGACTGTTAGTCCGAGGATAGGCAGAGTTGCAAGATCTGAGATGCGCCGTTGCCTAGGCGACTTGAGACGAAGGAAGCGACCAGTGCGACCAGGCCGTGAAGACGTGGTCGGCGATGCCGTTCCGGGGCCGACAGACACAAGCCGACAAACAGAACAGACCTTCAGACCGTGATGGTAGCAGAACAAGAGACCAGCAAACCTACAGGCCGTCAGCTCGCAACAACAGAGACAGACGACACGAGGACAAGACCTCGAGAGAAGCAGACCGCCTGGGCAACTTGTCATCTGACGGCCGGTTCATGCGAATGCAAAACGCCACAACAAGAGAACAACAAAAGAGCAAACAGCAATTGTAACTTTGGACATGAGAGGGTCTTTGGAAGACAAAGCAAAGTGGAAGTAAAAAGAAACATGAGGTCGACACATTTAGATTGTGTCTGAATCACCATAAAAGGTCTTGGCTGAATGGGGTCCTTATTCAAAGTGTGCCAATAGGCAAAAAAGGTCACTTTAGCGGCAGAGGAACAGAATGAGGCAACATCACTTCGACGAACATAAAGAGCATCAGACATCGCATTCGACACAACACCAGACCCCCAGGCCATCATACGTCCAGTCTGAATGAACTGGGACCATTGGACCGAATGACAAACATACGAACAGAGCATCACTTCGGCAGCCGTACAATTCGACAAAACACCAGATTCACAGACAATCAGACGTCCATTCCGAGAGGCATTAAACCTTTATACCGACAGAGCATCAATTCGACAACTATGCAGACCACCAGACACCCAATTCGACAGGGCCTCGGATCCTCAGGCATCGGATGTCCAGTCCGAAAGGACTCGAAGCCATTAGACCAACTGATTCATTCGCCTCTCCTCGTCTCGTCTCGCTTTCTGAAGCGATCACATGCCAGAGCCTCGGTCCCGGCGCCCATAAGTGCACGTGGCAATGTTCGCTTGGCTTGGGAGTGCGGGACTGGTAGGAGAGAGTTTCAAGTGCCATGAGACACAATCTCTTCAACTGCCGTGGAAGCAAACCGAGGCTTAAAGCCCCTTCGTATGGGCACTTTCACACCATTTCTTTGGCACAAACGGGCTGTGACTGACTCTTGATTAAAAACTAAATCGTCCAAAGTCGCTTAAAGCGAGTTAAAGACGTACAGTCGATTATACGCCACGACACCAGTGACCAATATTTATTTAAGCACTTCTGATATTCTTGAATACTACTCACTGTTAGAGTAAGTAATATCGTCAAATACACTGGCAAATATATGTTTGCCACTGAAAAGAAAGGTAATTTTGGTAAGGCTTGGCTTGCAGTGGCGCCAGTGCTTGTGCAGTTGTGTGGCGACAAGTGTCACCGAGGTACTCATGATCCGAGCTCGAATCCCGTTTGGGTTACTGACGCGACCAAGTCGAAACTACAGTCAAGTCGGGATGAGATAGACTTTTGCGAGGTAAAGTCGAAGATGAAATACATCGGCATCGAGAATGTTGGAAAGCTCAATTACTCGTCGTCAAATGGTCAATCCTCAATCCATCTGGGCTGAACCAGACCTCAACCGCGACAATGCCAACCCAAGCGATTTCACGAACCCCAATCCCCCTGACCTTACTAAAGCCTGATAGCAGCGGATTCGAGCCGTCTGGTCAGCGACCTGTCTGCTCGAGCAGCCAACTTTTCTCCCTCTCTTTTATGGCATTTCAGTCCAATCCCAACCCTACTACTGCTCAAGTGTCGATAGTAGTATAATTCGAAATATTCTTTATAAACAGAACACGGTTCTTAATAGTCATAAGTAACAAAATCAGCCTTGCTTCATCCACAATCCCACCAGATAATGCGATGTGGGAAAGTGACATTTGCCCTGTGAGCCAAGGACAATCGCGGCAATTCGGCTTAGTGGTTGGTCAGCGTATCGAGATTGTGCATTGCACTCTTCGAGTCCCGCCGAGGATTCTGTTGAGACCGGGTCAGGCGAGGTATGAAGAAAGGCTTTATGCAATTCGCTGCAGACGTAAGGCCTACTCACATGATTGTGG